GAACAGATTTTATTATTTTTGCCATTTTTTTTAAGAAACTTGCCCTTACAAGGCCAATCTCCTCTGAGTTAAGAACAACATCAAAGTTATGAACTTCTTCTAAGCTTTTATTATTATACTCCTCTTGTCTTATGGAGTGTTAGTTGCCAAAAAAACTTCTATTCATTGTCATTGTCGGAAAAGTATAGGTATTCAAATGGTTGCCACTGTTATCGTCGGAATATTGCCGCTAAAGAGTTTTTAAGGTTTTAAGGGTAGGTAGATTTTGAAGGTAGGATTTGGAAAAGATAGATGGGTGGTAATGGAGATGAGTGCTCTCATAAACCCTAATTCATGTTGTAGTGGGTGTGTAGATTTAATTGTGAGATGGAGTGTCCCAAAATGAATGATATCCTTTGTAATAATTTTATTTGAGGTTATTATTGTAATAAAAAAAAGCTAAAAATTGAGGGGTCTAAAATATTTTATGAGGTGCTAATAGCAGCATTCTCTTTTTTTCTTTTACAAAGAGGGTAATACGATAATTTATATTCAGTTAACAGTGTTAACAATTAGAGAAGGTCAGTGACATTTCAGAGAGTAAAAGGGGTGACAGTGATTTCACAAGAATTCAGGGGTGTTAGTGTAATTTACATATATATATATATATAATAAAGTAGGATGATTTTTGAATTTGTCCTATACACATTTGTCTTACTAGGACATTTGGACGGCTCAGATCTATTCAAATTATAAAACAACGATTGAGATATATTTTTCAAAAAATATTTTACATGTACATTTTCTATTTTCCCACTTCTCTCTCTTACTTTTTCCTTTTCTCACCCATCTTTCTATGATCCTATGATCTAACTTTCCTCTCTCTTTTCTTTTTATTTTTTTTATTTTCTCCCATTTTTATTTTTCTCTCTATTTGTTTTTTTATTTTTTTTATTTTCTCATTTTTGTTCACTTATTTTTATTCATATTATATGGAAAAATCTGCGATCCCAGAATTAGGAGCCAAATTTTACTGTGTGTAGTTGTGATTATATTAATGGATTTTTTAGTCCACAAATTAAATGAATTTGAACAATTAATTATTATTTTTAAATATATTGAATACCTAATAGATTTCATAAATTTAGACCTCATATGAATTTTCAACATATTTCAATAAAGTAAGGCGGTTTTTGAATTTTTAGCATATTTTTGTTCTATTAAGACATTTGGATAGCTCAGGTCTGTTCAAATTATAAAATGAGATATGTTTTTCAAAAAATGTTCTACATATACATTTTATTACTTTCCTGTTTCTCTCTCTCTCTTAGTTTTTCCTTTTCTCACACCCATTCTTCATTGATCCTATGATCCTGCCTTTCTCTCTCTTTTCTTTTTATTTTTTTTATTTTATCTCTTTTTTATTTTTCTCTCTATTTGTTTATTTTTTTTTTATTTTCTCCTTTTTGTTCAACATATTTTACACATATTTTCATACAATGTATTATGTCCCGTAATACACTAGGGCATTACGGGCATACATATAATTTTCACATAATTATATAAGCAAAAGCAGTATTGTATGCATGCCCGTGAAAATTATATATATGCTAGGCATATCTATCTATTTAACTATATATTATATAAGTAAAAACGAGTTTTCGTGACGAATTTTGTGAGAACTCCAAAATTTTATAACAAATTTGTGATTTTAATAAATTAAAAAATAAATTTAAACAATATTAAAATTACAATTATATTTTAATTTTAATATTATTTACATCGTACCTTTGAATATGGACATACGCTGCCAAGAGTGCCCCCATTGGCCTCCATGTAACTCAACACTCTGTACATGATCAGGAGACATGTATATGTGATGTGGTTCGGTACTCAACACCTCATGAAACACATCCCCAACTTATATAACCCAAATAATAAAGATGTATAATGAATTGCATATAGAATGCAAGGCATACCTAAGAATTGTAACACATGGGTATCTGAATTGATTTGGTTTTCCACTCGTTTCTTATCGTGTCTCTGTTTGCCACGTGGACAGTTAAGGGGCAATTTGGGAAGTTCATTGATCTTCCGCATTACATTGAGAGCCACACACGTGTAAATCATACTTGTTAAGTGAACCGTCTTAAAATAAATATATATATCTATCTATCTATACTATTATAAAGTTGAAGCTTTACTCTCCTCATGCCATGTGGCAGTATTTTTAATTTTTTTTAAAAAAAAATTAAACAAAGAGATGGGTAAGGCTTGAACCCATGACCATGGGTTTAAGTACGAAGACTCATACCACTTAAGCTAAGTACACATTATAATATTAATTTCATTATTATTTGTTTTTATTCCTACTTATTTAAATTGCACACACATCGTGTGTGCCACCCACTAGTATTTATATATATACACTAGCGGTTGCCATACGCAATGCGTGTGCTATTCAAATAAATAAAAATAAAATAAAAAAATTTATTATATATTATGTGCTAGTCAAATGGTAAGAGTCTTATTCATTTAATAATATAAGTCTAAGGTTCAAGTCCCCTCCACACATCTATCTAATTTTTAAAAAAAAATTTTAAAAAAAAAGTGGACACATGGCAGTATAAGAAATAAAACTTCAGAACACCATAAGAGGTGTTCACTTTGTAATAGTATAGATAGATAGATAGATAAATATATATATATATATTTGAAACTCAATTTTTTTTTTTATAATTTTACCTATAATGATATGTCGGACTAAGTATTAATATGTTACACACTCCATTATTAAAGGCATAATTCTCTAACTATAGATGAATTTATAAATCAAATATGTGAGCTTCTAACCTTACTAAAAAAAAACAGACAAACATGTAGATGAAAAATAGGGCTCAAATTTATAGAGGTGTGTAACTTTTTAGTGTATTTTTCAAATCATAAAAAAAAATTGATCTTTAGTTTGGAATTTTTAAAAATATTTTTTTAAATTTTAATTCGTATTTTTTATTTTTAATATTTTAATTAAATTTTTTATTTGTTAAATTCATTTAATTTAGATACTTGAAAGTACAAAATTTGTGTGAAAATATTTCAAAAATGTATTTAATCTAGAAACTTAAAAATTATAATTTCTCAAGAAAAATAAACTTTTAATTAACTTAATTTTTTACATAAATGATATATTGAATATTTAACAAACTTTACAATATAAACCTTTCCAATTATTCAAATCCAAACAGTGTTGCTGATGAAAGACAAAAAACCTTAATTTTTTCTCACAATACCAAAAAATCTCATAATACCAAAAACCTCCCCCTAACTGATCAGTGCTCTGATTTTATGTTTTTGACCCTCATAATAAAGGCACCTCAAAATAAAATAGAGAGAATTACAATTCAATAGGCTTTTGAAAGAAAAAAAAATTTAGATAGACATGAAAAAGTTTAAAATTTTAATTATTAATATTTATAAAGTTTACTACTGATAAATAATTTATTTTTTAAATCTAAATTGAATTTTTCCCAATAAAATAAGGAAAAAGTTTGGAACCCCCAATTTGGGGACCCCATGACCCCCATGACCTCCAAATATGTATGATTAGTTCGTGTGTATTTTTGTTTTTTTTTTTCTCTCTCTAGATGATGTTGGATTGTAGGAATGAAGTTTTTGTTGAGTCTCATTGCTTATAAAATAAAGACTGCAGGACTCACAATCCCTTTTTTTAGAGAAAAGTTAGCGATTATAAAAGTTTTTTCATGAAAATAATCATAAAAGATTTATAATTCTTGAATTATTTTAATAATATATGCTATTTTATTCTAAGTGAAATTCAAAAGTCACAAAATTTTTATGATTATTTTAATAAATTTTTTTTCGTAATACATAGTATTGCCAAAACTCCAAACCCCCCCCCCCCCCCCCAAAAAAAAACTATCTCTTATGTTACCTGCTTTAAAAGCTATTTCGTCATCTATCTCGTTTTGTCATGTGCTTTCGCACCAAGCCTTCATGGCTGGATGAATCACACAAAAATTACAAAACTAGTTAAATCCCCATCACAAACCCACCACCACATCCACCATCTCGTTTTTCTCTATCCATTAATATCACCATCCACAAACTCCATTCAGTGTCCAATCATGCAGCCATTGATAAATCAAACTTTAAAAGAGAAGAAATTGCCAACACGATTTCTTTCTTAAATTTAATTGGGTTTGCACCAACAAATAGAAGAAAAAACAGAATCCGTTTGGTTGTTGCTCTCTCTCTATTCTCCCCTCTGTACCATTTTTCCAACTAAACCCCGGTCGGACAGCCCTCACCGTTTGCTATATTGTGCAGACTTTGCTTTTCGGAGGACGGAGTTCTTCCACGGTGCTCTACCCTACTCCATAGTGTGAAATCACCCTCGCACAGATAGCCTTCCCCAACCCCTCATATTTACTATCTAAATGTATCGCTGCTAGTTAAGTGATACATCAAACAATTGAACGGCAAAAAAAAAAATACATGTGAATCAATCTATTTTTGTTTAAAATCTTGTTAATTGCCTTGAACACCATGGTTATCTACTGGCAATCAGTTCAAACTGCAAAATCTGCCAAGTTGCCAACTAACAACTAATGTTTGTATATATTTTTTTGTTCATATAAATCCTGTGTTCAGATTAATCCTGAATTATAGAATTTATTTACTTCAACATCTTTGTTTTGATTTTTTGTATCTTACTTGAAGTAATGAATTATTGTCTTTGTCACCTTCAACATTAGAAAACTGGTATCTGCTATTTGGTATTGTATACATATATGGCACTTGGGTTTTGATTGATCTGTGGCACTCTCTAGTATTGTATATATATATATATATGTATATGTGTGTATATGTGTTTGAAAGGAGTCACTTTGAAAGGGTAAAAAGGGTATTTTAAAATTCTAACTGATGAGTTCATAGAGTAAGGAGTTGAGTTGAGACTCACCATAGAGATATTCAAACAATTAATCTAACGTTGTCTGGGAGAAAAGTAAACAGATAGAATATAAAATTTCACCAAACCAATTACACAAACAAATACATTTATATAGATGGATTATGCATACAACAAGCAACCAAATATTAGATACTTTTTCAACATGTAGAAGTTTCACAGAAAACACGATTTGAACCCCTGTTGTTATCTGTTCCACAATAGCTCTCATCTCATCGGATGCATATTGTCTTTATTCTCAATAGATAATGAATCTATCACACAAGCACTCCTTACCACCACACACCATATATCTATATATATATATAAATATATTACTTGAAATGGTAGGTCTCAATATCTTGGCTCACAGTCATAACGGTGTCCATCAAAGTATTTGGATCATCAATTTGCTCATTGAGCTTCTCATATTCAAGGGTCCAAGTCACCAAGTTCTTTTGGCCTTTTGGTTCAACCTTAAGAATGAAGGCAAAGGTCTTGTACTCCTGCAAGAGATCTCCTTCAATAACCTTGTATGTGGTTGACTTTTTTGCCACATCTAATTCTGTGATAATTTGCTTGCAAGTCTTGGGCTTTCCCTCTGTGGTATAACATAATAAAATCAAGATAAACAGACCAAAAAAAAAAAAAAATTAAAAATTTGAAATCATATTCAGAAAATAAATAACAAAAATCAAAGAAAATTTGTAGTAGATAAAATTATAGTTAATAGTAATTTTTTTTTCTCTATTTGTTCGCTTATATAATTACTAAAATTATATACTAAATTTTACTTTTTAATACAAAGAAAATATTACAAAAAATCGAGTGTGACTATATATCCAAAGTAATAATCCACAAGGCACTACTCCATAAATGAAAATATTGAAGTAAGAGCAACTCTAACAAGGTGTTATGTATTGTGTTATTGTCAGAATTTGACAACTATGTGTATCGTGTCAAATTTAATATAATGCTATATATCATGTCAAATATACAATGATAGGAGTATCATGTCGAATTTTCGCAAGATAATTTTTAGCGTTTGAATTTTAAAATTTTACTATATTGTCCACCAAAAAGTGGCATGCCATGTACTTTTTTATATATGCAAATTCAATAAAATAAATTAATTTTTTTAAAAATATATTAGCCATAATATTAAAATAATTTAAATTCATAATTGAATTTAAAGGCATTCAACGATTATGTATTTTAATTAATTATATAAAGTAAGTTTGAATTAAACTAAAGAATTGATATTTTTATAAATATTAATTATTAGATTACAATTTTTTTTTCTTAAGTCAAAGCTAAATTTATAGACACAATAAATGCATATAATTAGATAGACACAATCGCATCCTATAATAGAAATTAAATTATACGATAATCATTGTAAAAAATAACAAATGCACTACAAGAATGAGTTTGTTAAAATCAATGTTTTAAAAATCGGACCGGTGATAGAACCAAAAAAGTGATTGGGTGAACGGGTCACTAATTCAACCGTTGGATTGAACCGGAATCGAACCGTGACGTAATAAATATATTAAATTTATATTTAAATAAAAATATAAGTAATAAAATTAAATATTAAAAAAATAAAATATTAAATTATCTTAAATATTTCTCCTAATATTTTTTTACTAAAAAATATAATAATATATTTTAAAATATTAATAATTTTAATTATGGAAGAGAAAATCAAATATTCAATATTCCCTCCATATGATTTTAATTCAAATAATTTAATTGAAAGAAAAACTAAAATTTTGGAGGGATAATAATATAATATATATATATATATATATAAAATAAGAAAGAAAGAAAAATTAAAAAAAATAGAAAATATCCAAAACAGTTCAAAATTTTCGATCTAAATAACTTGGTTTTCCCGGTTCTCTTTAAATACACCAGTTTTTGGCTTCGACCGGTTCAGAGGGTATATCCGGACCGGAATCCCGACTGGTTGACGGTTCAACCGGTCGAACCGGCCGGTCCGGTCCGATTTTTAAACCCATGGTTAAAATATAGGAATTGAGGTCACCACTGTGCTAAAAGAATTGGGGTCACTAGCAGTGACTGTTGTACCTCAAATTGAGGTGCATTATAAGCTTATTCTTATGATCTGAACCGTTCATTTTGTAGAATTTGTTGAGTAGTTATTAATCGGATATCAATAACTATATAATCGATAACCAAAAAAATAAACAATAAGTTTTTCTTTTGAGAAATAGCATAAAAAATATGTAATTCGATCATATAATTATTAATATCTGATTAATATGATTTTTGGACACTGTAATATGCTAAAATATAATATTGACTACATTGAAATGGATTTAAACACCATGACCTGTTAGAGATGGTCTAAACGCATGTTAACTTTCACCCATGTTGCATGCATGTTAAATATAGAACAGATATTGCTCTATATATTATCAAAAGTCTATGAGCTCAGACATATATACCAAGAAGGAATTGAACTAGAAAAGGGATGTGTCATTGAGATTTATTCTTTATATAGTGAGGTCTACATATGAAATTAATCCTAACTATTAAATGTGTTTTCTAAGTATTTTTAGGATACTTTTCTGAGACTGTATACATATTACCATGAGTGTATTTCCAAAAGATGACACAACCAGGAGTGCCCCATTGACCTTCAAGCAACTCAACGCTCTGTACATGATCAGGTGACATGTTGTATATGTGATGTGGTCTGGCACTGAGCACCTCATGAAACACATCCCCATCAGACTTGTACGGGAGCGAAATATCCTCTACTTTCCGTACTCTTTGGACGTCAAGCTTCTTGTGACGGCGTCTATCTCTGCAACACAGAAATGGTGAGCTGCCCGACGGTGGTGTGCCAGCTAGACCCTCCGACGATCAAGTCAGACCAATGGAGGAAGAAGAAGGCTATCAGAGAGAGAGAGAGAGTTAGTGATAGAGTGAATTTTTCATACCTCTAGCGTTCCTCTTTCCTTCTATTTCTAGGCTGGCCATGTAGCCTCAAGATTGTGCGCGCCCTACCTCTGCTGTCCTTTCCTGGACAGGTGACAATGCCCGCCTCTCACCACCTTACGTGTGTAAAGGCTTTGTCCTCCAATCGACACATGCAGAGCTGCCAAACGGTATTGGTGCGTGCGTGGAGCAGATGTCCTCTCCCTCACGCCATTGGCCCAGGTGGCACACTTTACCGGAGTACCATGACCGGCCAGTTCCTTGTGGAGGCAATTCTCCACAAGCACACAACCGAGCTAATAAACGCCGACCTGCCACTTGGCAAAGGAGCCAAAGTGTTATGCTTATGACCGGGCTATTTATGATCGGTCCCACCTAACTGACCAGCCATGAAGCACGCTGGACTTCCACCGTTCTTCATTCTTGATCACATGAAGCCCGTCTATCTCGGCCGATCGGTTAGGCGCATGCCAGCGCTAATCACATCTCAAGTCTAGTCCGGGCTCCTCTTAGCTTGGTCATCAGACACTGCTGTGCGCTCGGCCGTGTCATAGTTCGGCCAGGCATTGGTTCGTGTCTGGTCGGTCGACCTCTCCGGCCGTGCAAGTCAGGCCGCTGGGCCGTGCAATAGAGGAGTCTGCTCGGCGCCGTGCGATAACGTCATGATCGGCGTTATCGTAGCTCGACCGTACTAACGCGCAAATCTCCCCTCTCAATTGCCCCTCAGCCCCATCCGACCTAGTCGTGATTGGGGTTACCATCGTGACCGAGCTAACGGATGAGTTGCGCCACTACCAAGCCGAGCGCGATTGAGGGCATACCTGTCGCCGAGCTGTCCCATTTGGTCGGCCATTTCCTCCACAGTCTCATCAAAGGTCGTACATCCGTACTGACAGCCGCGTTCCTAGTGCCACGTGGCTTCACGCCATTGGGTTGTGCAGCCAGCTGTTCTGCACGCGCAGAATTCAAATGGCTGCGCCGTTTGGGTTTTTTTCCCCTTTTATGTACAGTCCAAGAGTCATTCGAACCCATCATTGTCCATTCTCTCCTCCAAACAGACCCTGAACCTCCCAAACCTTCGAACCTCCGAGATCACCGCCATTACTGTCTCTGTGCTACATCCTCCATTTCAGTTCTTTTCGAAGGCTGCAATCGAGCTCTCGAGGTTGCGTTCACCCTCACATCTGCCCCCCTGGTAAGTTACACTACCCTCCCTTGCATTTTCTGTTTCTATTTCTCAAAAAAATTTTATACCTGTTCTTCATTTCCGTGCCACTGTACTTCGTGTTTTTTTTTTTGTTTGTGACCACCAGTGCCCCCTTTCTTTGCTTAGAACCTGCACACCCTAGGGCAAATGGGAACTTTGAGAATGGAAGGGGCCTCCGAGCCCCCTGTTCCTCCTTAGTTCAAACGAGTTCACCGCATTTCTGGGATGAACAATTTGAATCTGGGTAGAACCGAGCTAAACGCTCATTTAGATCAGTAGGTAGGGCTATAGCCGATCAAAAACTGGTTTGTGGCTTCTTACTGAGGTCGCAACCGAGCTGAATACTCTAATTAGATTGTTAAATAGGAACGCACCGAGCTGTAACTTGAGGTCTCCACTTCAAAGCCTAACCGAGTTGAATACTCCATTAGAACTGCAAATAGGAATGAAACGAGCTAGGAAATCGACCAAGTAGTCTAGCCGAGATAGGGGTCAAGTCGGTAAAACACCAAAAATCCTTCACTGAGCTATTTCCAATAGGAGCCGTGGAATTTATGCTGCGCTAACCCTTGGCCTCATTTTTTAACAATGCAGAACAAACTAGGACCGATCAGTTCAGTCAAGAACCATCACTGGTGGAGCTCAAAGACTGAGCAAATACACCAAACATTTTTGTCCGAGATACAAGTTAGTTCACCAAATAAAACTGAGATAGATGGGCAAGTACCGATTCATGGTGAGCTCGCCCGGTGCGATGGCCGAGTTTCGTAGGGAGTACAACATCCCAGATGACATCGACTTAGAGCTCGCAAAAAAGGGAGACACCCCTTGGGGGGATCTAGACCGGTGCCCCTTCACCATCGTATCAATAGTAGAGAGAGGGCTCTGCTTCCCAGTTCCACCCTTGATCTGTGAATTTTTGAGGCAGACAAGGCTTTGCCTGACCCAAGTTTCAAATAACACTTACAAAATAATAAACGGGGTCGCCGAGCTGAACCAGAGGCTCGGTCTCAATCTCGATTTGGCCGAAATTTTCCATCAGTATAGTCTAAGTAGAAATAAGAGTGGGCTTTGCTGGTACCTCAAATTCAAGAAGGGCCGAGCAAAGCTAATAGAGGGCAACCCGGACAAGGAGACCAACGACGACGATTTCTTGTGGGTGTCTGGTCGCTATGAGGACACCGAGGCACCCATACCGAGATGGTATATTAGAAAGGATTTTGGCAGTGCCGGTGAGTCGCTCGGCTGACCGCGCTATTTTCTTTATGCATCAATTACTTTCTATGCCAATCTAACACTTGTCTTCTTTTTACAGATAAGCACCTAGCAGCAGACTACCACCAGGCCAACCAAAAGGCCATCAGAGCCCTGCTGTGCCATCCTGCTGAGGAGAGGGAGGCTTCGAAACTGCTTGGCTTCAAACAGACCTACCACTACACCGCACCGCGTAAGAGCCGGGTTACTGACTTTCTGCGTGCGCCAACCCTAGAACCAAATCCAAGCCTACCACCGATCAGGCTTGTTCCACTCACCGCCGAGCAAGAAATGGCGAAAATCAGGGCCATCAAGTCCATGATCACCGGGGAAGAAGGCGAGTCCCAAAAACCAGAGGCAACCGGGGGGACATCGTCCACACCCGCCGGGCAATAAGAAGGGGCAGTATTGGCACTTGCCAGCGAGCAACCGGCTGGCTGGTCAAAGAAAAGACCGAGGAAGGACCCGACCGGGCAAAGCCTCGCTGACGAAGACTCCACTGAGCTCGCCGCCATCGAGCTGGGTGACCAGACCGAACAACCATTGGGCGGGCCTTCCAAATCCCCAAGTTCCCCCCCGGTCTGGGCGCCTAAGATAACGTACAAAGGCCGGGCAGTCTCGTCTACTGATTCGGTGTATGCTGACAAGGATTACTCCCTTGGTTTCAATATGACCAAGGGGCTAATCCTTCCAGCTGACATGAAGAAGCACGACGAGCTGTCCGATCTGAAAGTGCTTCGCTCGACAGCCAAGTCGATAGTGCTGGTAAGTTTTTCATTTTGTTTCATTTTGTCTTCAAGTCATTGCTCGGTTTTTATTCGGCTGCCTTGGTACTCATGATCTCTCATTTGCGTGCAGGTCGCGCAAAAGAATTACCTCGCCCACGAGCGTATGATCGCCGTGCGGCAGAGTCTGCGTGAGGCCATCGCCGAGAATAAGGCCCAAAAGGCCGAGATAGCAAAACTCAAGGTCGCGTAAGAAGCAGTCGCGGCGGAGCGAGACATCCTGAGCCAAAAGGTCGACCGAGCTAACAAGGACAAACAACGGGCCGTGAAGTCGGCGAAGGCTCGGTACCTTGCCGAGCTAAGGAAACTGCGCGATGCCAACAAGCTAGCCATGGACAAGGCGGTCGATGATGCCGAGGACCGGGGATACGCTCAGGGCGAGAAGACTTACGAGCACCAAGTCCAAGCGACCAGGGACATCTTTTTCCAGTGCAGTTGGAAAGCCGCCATGGAAAAGTTGGCCTTGGTCAGGACGCTGACATGTTCCTTAACCCCCCTGCAGCCTACATCTCGATTTATATGCAAGCGTACGCCAACGCTACCCAGAACCGGCTTATCGCTGAGGCAAGGAAAGAGGCTGAGGAAGAAGCCTCTGCCGCGCAACAAGCTAAGCAAACCACTACCGAAGCATCCCAAGATGCGGAAGATGAAGTGGCTGACCGGGAGGTTGTTGTGGAGGATGGAGCAGACGATGACGCCGAGGAAAACCTACCTGAGCAGACAACTGAGATCGCCGAGCAGACGATGAAGGCAGCCGAGCAAACCATGGACCTTGAACTGGACTAAAGATCTTCCTTGTTTTATTTTCTTTTTTTTTGGTTTTTTGGATGTAACGGGCTATGTCCCCATCATGTACTGAAATTTCCTTTATTAATGAGAATTTTCGACTTTTTGCTCGTTTAACTTTCATTTCTGTTCAGTTGGCATGTGAATAAATTCCTTGATTGAATCGTTGACAATTCACAACTGCCAGGTCGGCTATGCTGCACAATTTGCTGAGCCAAAATCACCTTAAACGTTTTCTAATTAGAATTAGCAGTTCAGCTCCTCGAACTTTCAGATGAACTGACATTTTAACTCGGCCGAACAAAATCTGCTAGCTCGGCCTTGACTGGTTGGTAGACTTTGTAGAATTCCAATACTTCAACGTGACCGAGCAAAATCAGCTCGCCTTTTAAGTTGGGTAAGCCGCCAACATTTCTTTTCCGCCGAGCAAAGTCAGCTCGGCTTTTTATCGGTTGGACAAAACTCCAACATTGCGAATTCTGCCGAGCAAACTCCGCTCGTTTTCCATATTGGAAAAGACACCAATATGCCAACTAGGCCGAGCAAAATCAGCTCGACCCTTACATTGGGCAAAACACCAATGTTTCAGTTAAGTTGGTCATGACGCCAACATTTCAACCGGGCGAGCAAAACCAACTTGGCCCTAATGCGAATTGGTCCGTACGCCAATTATATCGTTGGACAATGCACCAACTATTTGTGCGGTCTCCTTGCCCCTGGCATCCATAATTGCCTGGCGTCCTTGCGATGTCATTGTACAAA